AGGGGGTGAAAGAGTGACTAGGGCGTACACGGTAGAGGTGCAGACCGCTAGTGTCTTTTATGCGCAGAGTCTTATCCTCTTGCTCTTTGAGCCTTGAAGCAGTCAAGCATGGACACACTATATCGGCTGTTGGAGTGGAACCCTGTACAGGTAGGCTCTACTTTTCAGCAGGCACAAGATTCATGTCCACTCCTAGCTGATTGCGTATGTCGCACACTCTTTTTCTACTGCAAGGCTAAAACAGTCCAGCTAGCTCTAGCAACTTAAAAGAAAATTACGGTGCCATGTACTTACCTAATCCAGTGTGTTTCACACTATAGAGAAGGTAATCTCAAAGCTACTAAATACAGTGAGGGAGCAATAGCTGACTCACCTCAAGTACAAAATCAAAACGATAATGTACCTCGGCTGGAGACTGTACTTTTCACAGGCGGAGATACCATGTACCGGCGCTCACTAGCTCTTTATGGCCTGAGCTAAATCAAACTAAAAGGGAAAGCGGCTTTTTCTCTACAGAGACCTATAAAAGAATCAAACGACACTCGCGTAACAAAGAACTAAAAATTCAAGACCGCACAAATGCAATTAATTACAATGCCTTGCAAAATGCAAGGAGCGTACGGTTCGAGGAATAATCTTCTCGTGACGTGGTCTCGACCGCTTTCATCCACAGACAAAATAAAACTGCATCAAAAGGACTCTCTTTCACATTCACATCAAAAACACAAGAAGGAGATACCGGCAAATGTATGTACAAAAAAATCTTGCACTACAATTGCAAATCATGAAATGACTTAATCATCAACCATGACTGGTTGTCCATTAGAGGTCATCTCAGAAAAAGCGGCTGAGATAGATATCATCAGTTATGCAAAACTGTCCATACCTATCTGCATGCTAAAGCGTATAAACCTGGAATGCAGGAGTATCTTCTTTGATAAAAAGTTTCTCCTCATTGCAAACCAGAATTTATTAAAACTTCAGCCTGGCAACTTAAAGTCAAGCCTGGAAGCAAAGTATCAACTGTAACCAGAAGTATCTTCACTTCCTAGCCATCATTTAAATTTCAGCCTTCGCTCAGGAATTATGCCGCTGCAAACGATGAAGTTGCTTGATCAGAAGTTGGCGGCCTTCCTTTCCTTTTATTCTGCTTTTGTCTCTCCTTCCTCCGCAAGTTCGCCTCATGAAGAGTTGGTCCCATGCGATACTGTTTTCTGTCTCCAGATGAAAAGGAAGCTGGTCTGAGTGAAATAAACATTGGACCATGACTGTCCTCGTCAGTGGGCCTTGAGCACATAACCTCCGTGTCAATCATAGCAAAGTTCTCTGAAAAATTACAGATGAACTCCTTCGTACTCACTGTGGAATTTTCATATTCCTCTTCACTCATTGAATGACCCCATTCAACAATGGTAGACAAACATGTATCGCCAAGCTTTGATCCTTGGTATTCTTCTTTTTCAACAGTAGAATATTCTTCCCAGAGTTTGTCAAAGTAATCTTCACACTTCTTGAGGACCTGTGAAGTTGAACTGTAAAAAGTTCTGGGAATAGGTGCTTTGATACCAGGATCTGCTTTTACACGGGCTTCTGAAAACCTGCGGATCCAATGCTGCATGGTGCTGTAATAGTAGTTAGCCATTGGCTGCCTTTTGTACCCAGACATTCTGTAGGCCAAACTATTTGCATCACCAGAAATGATGTCCACCTCATAGACAAAACACTCGTAAAGCATCAATGCTGTCTGTTCTCCTGTCAGTAGGTGGGCATCCACAGCACGGTGTGTATCAACATGATAATTACAGACTCTGATGGTATGCATGTTCGCTCGAGTAAGTGGAACACGCTTGTCCTCAGGACCATAGTCATCAAATTCAAAGTCTGCATCCTTGAAATCTTGACGAGGCCTTGTTTCTCCAAAACAAATCTCGTAGATAGCCCAAGTTACATCACGCTGTTCACAGTGACCAAGATCTTGGTCATGTCCAGCAATGATCTTGACATATCCACCTGGTGCCAATCTAGCCATCACTGCAAGATTCTCCCAATCATTGAAACAAACTGTCCAATTCTTTTGCTCAATAAATTCCTTGGCAGGAACAAGAAGATGAGCTTCCTGGAGAATCACGACATGTGCACGTAAAAAGAAGAGCATGTTGAAGAAAAGGTTGTTCTCAAATTGCTCATTCTGAAGTGACATGGCGCTCTGTTTGCGTGGCCTCATTGCACTATCAAGTCCTTGGAGAAACCTTGGTGTGGTGTACTTCTGACCACGAACCATGTTGCCATAGTTCCAGGATAAAAATGTCAAGGACTCTGAGCTGGCCAATAAATTAGTTCCATATGGTTCTTCTATTCTTCCTTTGAGGAACCTTCTGCACAGCTCTTCATAGAAGGTGACAAAGTCCCAACTGGGTCCCTTGGGGCCATATGATTCCAGTTCATTCTTGAGTTCCTTCTTCGTCTCCTCCAATTCTTCTCGAGCATGACCTGCCCTTTCGAGGGCCTTTGGATCGACCTGATACTTGCCATCCAAATAAATGATGCGATCATCATTGATGAAGAATCTCTTCAAATCATGCTCTGGTTCATGTTCATAACAATCAGGTGGAGGTACTGGACAGACATTACGAATGGATCGAACAAAATCATTCTCGTTGATCCTTGACTGATAATGAGGATGGGAAATCTCACCTTTTCTGAAACAAACATGATTCAGCAATCTTGCATGAGTTTCCCTGAAGCATAGTTGATAAAAGCCAATACCTGGATCTCCTGTAAGCTCTCCAAGCAACTTCAAAGGTGAAGTATGCAACTCATAGGTATTGTCAGCTTTTGTTGTATCCTTTTCAACAACTACTTCAGATGGAAAAGATTCTTGGATTTCAGCCTCCAATTTCTTCTCTCCATCATCCTCTCTGACCTCTTTTATTTTCTCTACCGCCTCTTTCTTCTCTTCCATGGTTGCATCATCCTGAACTTCTTCATGAAAATGAGGATCAGGTATTTTATTCAGGCGGCTTTTCTTAGATTTCCGCTGACCTGAAGTATCATCAAGGTTAGCATCCATCTCACCTGATGGTAAGTGCGATGCAGTCGAGTCCTCACCTATCTCTCTTGACAGAAAGTGTGGTGTTGACTCTTCCTTGGCTTCCTCCTGGTCCACTTCCATCTTTGGTTCCTCTGAAGGAAAAACACCTGCATCTTCATCAAATATTTCTTGTTCCTTTCCAGGTTCAACTGCAGGATCTTCTTCAGGAACTTCCTCTTCCATATTCTCATCTTCTAGAAGTGTCCTACTTCCAGTATAGACTTCACCCGCGATAGTGGAGACTCTTGTATAAGGAGGAACTTCTTCACCTGCTTCAAAAGCTTGTTCTGCAACATCCTTGGTGAGCAAGTCCTCTACAAGATTTTCTCCCTCGGTTCTTGGAAGAGGTCCTGAGGTCTCATAAAAATCTGTCCTCTCTGAACTGAAAGCTTCTGTCGCCTTCTCATTGTCCTTTTGATCCCTGAACAGGTGAGTAATCTTCACAGCTTCTCCCTGTAGCACCTGATCACCTCCTCTATACTTGTCGACAATGGAGCGCCATACTGGAACATCATCATCATCAAAATCAAGCTCCATATCATCTGCCAACAGGTATGAGATGTTTTGAGCTGCCTGTTCTTCTTCTTCATCACGTTCCTTGGCAAGCTCCTCATCCTTCTGGATCTTGAAGATACCCTTCAGGATGTCTTGTAGTACCTTTAAGTTCAGCTTCGATGATGGCTCATACGTCCCTGAACTTACAGGCTCAACTACAACACGAGAGCAAGAAATCGCCTCCAAAAACTTGGAATTGTATTGGCGTTCAAACTCTTCCTTCTTGATCATCTCATACAAGGGATCAGAAACTGCAA